GGAATTTTCTCCCTTATCTGGGTTAGCTGGTGTTTTTAGATATTTTGCATTTTCTCTCTTATCATTATTAGTTTGAGTTAAATCTACTTCGGGGTTTTTTCCCATTAATTCATCTTCAGGTGTATCGTGAATAATATTAAGTTGTTTGAGTTGTTCTTCCATTTGAATTAATCTAGGGTCTTCTTTTGGCATATTAGAGTTTTGTAGCTCATTGTTTCGACTTGCAAATGATTGATTTGAAAAGCTAACATTTCGTAGTTGATTTACCCGCCATGACTTTCACGTATCTGCTCGTATAGGCTATGTAGATTTTTTATCTCCTCTTGATTGCTCATATCTAGCTGCCAGACCTAACTATTGGCTCGGTAATGCCAGTAACAAAAGAGAAAAGAACTTACCAATCTTCTCACTACGCTGAATCAGGTAATCTGAAAAGGAAACCCAAAGACGCTACAAAATTCGACCTCCTCGTCACTATCTGCTCAGCGGTCGAATCTGAGTGAAATGATGTGAATGATGCTCAGCGATAGGTGAAGTTAAAGTAGTAGCAGGTTATTAGCTAGTAGTAGTAGTTGTAGTTATTATGGCCAATAATAATTGTTGACTACAACATTTTCCTTCAATGAGGTTTTGAATAATCTTTTCAGAATCACTATTTTACCCGATTAACGAAGGAATTTCAAAATCCGAAACATCATTATTTCTGGAATAATCCAGATCTGATTTAGTACTGTCTTCTTTGCAATTGGGTTATCAAATTCGATAATGACGCATTGAGGTCTGTTTTATCAGGTGCCACAAATTCGTCGATCAGCACTAGGCATAATCATCTGAAGAGCTCAACAAATGAAGACTTACCCCCTTCAACGGCAGCATGTTGACGCTTCAGGGAACTGAAAATGCTTTGCAATGCATTCATCCCCCCCGGGGGTCGACGTAGAGAATTCTGCGAAGCTACTGGCTAGGATCTGTACCTAGGCAGTCTCGGCCACGGGGGTATAAAATTTATGAACTTGGTAGTTCTGAAGGCTCTGGGAAAGGTCACTTATTGGCCGGCCTCGGAGTCTGGCACGTCCTAGCGCGCGTGGTGCTAGTAACCCGTGGGGTTTTCCCCCGGGTCGCTGGGTAATGTCCCGCTGCGACGGGCTCGCCCGAGCGAGGCAGGAGCAATTGACGACCGGTGCTGCCTGGTGACGTATCCAGGTGGTGCGCGGCTCTGCTGGAGGGTAATAGTGGAGGTTGAACCTCCACGACGTGCCCGAAGGCAGAGTCGACCTGTAGTGAGATTTAGTTACTTGGAACAGGGAAGCCGAAACCCATAGTACATTGTTCATGCCGATGAATTTGATTATACAGTGCTGCCATCTAGTATTGAATTAAAATCTTAAAACTGTCCGCTATGTTATATTCTATTTAGGAGATTTATAGTAAGATTTTTAAAATTTCTTGTGAGCTTATATGATTTCCTCAAGAAGTTATTTTATTATTGCATAAAACACTATTTTTCAGTATATTTAAGTTGTCATATTTTGATCATTTACATAAAATCTTAATTTAGTCATATTAAAAAAAAATTACATCCATATTTTCAATTTAGTTGTTTTCTTAAAATATAAATTTGATTATTTTGTATAGAACTGGAAAAAGTTTAGTATACGTAAAAGTAATTTAAAAGAAAAAAAAATGATTTTGAAAGGGGCTAGGGTATCAAATAATGCATTAATCTAGCATTAGCAAAAGTTCCTCAAAAAGGAAATCTAGTTCAAAATACTGCCGAGATTATCCAGTGTAGCAGGACCAATGATTTTTGGACTGTACCTGCGAAACAATGAAATTAGCTAACTCAGAATTAAATTAATTTTCATAATCTAACCCCTCAATTTGCAGCCGTTTAAGACGAAACGAGAGAAAAAATAACTCAAACGACGAACAAAGGAAAGTTCAGCTTACGTCAGTCCAGTACAGGATTCGTTGCTGGGCAAGGTTAGCGAAGAAGGAGCATGCCAATGCAAAAGTCTGTTGCCAACACGTTATTGTTAAGGGATATTTTTATGCAAGCTTGCGAAGTTTTTTTTTTTTTTCTTCTTCGTGACGAGAGAGAAGTTCGATAATTTGTACTGAGAATTGTAGATTATGTTTCAACATTCCTTGTTTGATGATAATTTATTGTAGTTTGTGCTTAGTGTTAATTTCTCTTTAAATTTATTACGTGCTATGCCGTTAGGCATTACACGGTAAAGGAGGGATGGTCCGTGGAGAATCTTTTAAGGGAAACTGGCTCTTATCCATGTTAGGCCCATATCACACGGCGTTTGTTTCATACGAACAACTGTTTCGGACAATTTTTCTGCCTGGTTTACTATTGAAAGAAGGACGTGCGACTTTTTCGTTCCTTTCGAAAAAAGTTGCAAGTTGTTCGTTTTCAATCAATCAGCTATCAGCGCCGAATGCTGTTAGCTTGTTTGTAATGGAGAACCAGTTCTCCCTGTGTTAACCCCAAAGCGAGCTGCGGTGATTGGCTGTTGTGACAAAGCAGAAAAATTGTTCCAAATAGTTGTTCTTTCGAAACAAACCGACGTGTGATAGCAGCCTTACACATACGAATACCACGAAAACGTCCATGCAGCAGCCCAGTCGCCGGGACTCGACCCTCGGACAGAACTACCAATGTTCAATGACTTTTACCTCTAGGCCACTGGTATACCTTAATTATCTTTTGTTTGTGTGTTTTTATCTTGAATGATTCTGCTTACTGTCATAGAACGGGTTTGCTGTCTTTAAGGTGGGCCAGGCGGCGCCTTTATTGTTACTGATAATGGTAGTAACTTCATTGGAATATCAAAGTATCTTCTGTCTCTTGATTGGAGTCAAATAGAAGATGAATGAGCGTTATAACAAACAGAGCGGAATTTTAGCCTTCTCATTGCGTTATGGTATGAATGGTGGTGGAAAAAGATGATTTGCAATGTTAAGTTGCTTCTAGAGAAATATTTGGGGAAGACTTGATTACATTACGAAGAAATACATACTTTACAATATGAATGTGAATGTGCTATAAATGGAAGAATTTTACCTTATCTTTTAGGTGATCTCCATGAACTGATGGCTATAACACCAGCACATTTTATTCAGATCATAAAACAGAATATTAGGACTGGCTTGTACATAATAGACTCAACTCCACTCCTGAAATGTAATGTAATGATATGTACTTGCAATTTCCAAGAAATAGACTAATGGAAAACGAAATTTCAATACCGAGGAGGATTTGTGTTAAACGAAATTTCCGAAGCGTGTTTGCAAATCTCAGAGATGACTTCTATAAAAATGTCAGTCTAGACAAGTAACTGTGGCGATAATAGTACTGTTATGAATATTCAGATCACGTTTACTTTAAATAAGCAATGTAAATTTCGTGTGTTTTATCTAATTTTCCGGAATGAGTCTTGTGAGCGAGATTTGAGTCAAAAATGACTTTAAGGAGACGAAGAAGGCAGTATCAACAGCTTACTGAGTTTGAACAAAGCCGTGTAATAGGGCTACAAGAAAGTGGATTTTTCAAAAAGTCTTGACAGAGATTTATTCACTGTGCATACGTGTAGAAAGCAGCGGTCATGGGAAGATACCGATCTTCAGTGAGAATGGCTTCCCGACCAAGCGAGTAATGCCATTCTGAATGAAACATCTACTGGCTACCACTACCAAGAGCGCAGCTGAACAGACAGATTGCTTGACTAACATATTCAGAGAAAAAAAAAAAAAAAAAAAAAAAGCATGCATGCTGCTATGAAATTTACTGTTTACGCCATCGAACAAAACGGTAAAAAGATCTTTTAAATGAAATATGAATCAAAGTTTAAATATCATTTCTGATTTTTTGACGAATTTTTGAAATTACTCGATTTTTATCGATTATTTGACTTCTATGAATTTCAACATCTGAAAGTTACAAAGTTTCTAGTTACAAAATTTTAACCTTTCTACAGATCATAAAACAAGCTTGTGGTTTTTTTTTCAAACAAAACTGATTAAAGAAAAATTTTCATTGGGCGTTTACCTATATTAAAAAAAAAGGCTTGTAGTAAGAAATAGGAAGTGGAAAGTCTGGGTTTTTCGCCTTCTCTCGGAAACATTTCAACCGGATGGCAAGAAAAGATGCAAATAATTGCCCAGCAGATCTACATATTTAGAGACAGTGAAAATACTTAGTATAAACAGTTTCAAGAGAAAATCACCTGAAACATCACGGAGCCACCATGATCTTATACTGCTCCAATCTGGCATGTTGGAGCCATGACTTCGTGGGATTTGGGCCTTGTATTTTATCTACCACCAGCGTGATGCAGTCGAAATTTTGACTCTATACTGCTCGATTTCAACCATCCATAATGCAACGACGGCTTTCTGGAACCCATGTAAGAAATTGAAGGAAGTGCAATGAAGTGTTAATTAGCATTCTCGTAGGTTTTCGGCTTCTGTATCCTACAGGAGGAAATCGAACGCTACATAATCTGTCTGCTGTCTGTCCAGTTGGAACCCTCACTCGAATGGGTAGTCACCTATTTTATTTAATATGTGCTACACGAAAAAAGAGAGATGATCTTCGGTGGACTTTTTTGAGAGAAACTATCTCGTACCTGTGGCAATCCACGTCATGTGGTTTATGTAAAAACTGCTATCGCAGCAGTGAACTCGCTCACTTCGCCCTTAGCTGCAGCATAGGATGTTTGAATTTTAGTTTAGTGGTTTTGTTATTCGTTCTGTTATTTCAGTTGTGTTTAAAATTATGGTGTGTGTGAATAAAAGTTATGTTTAAAGAAAAGGAGTCATGTCAATTCAAGAATATACACCAAGGCATAACCACCACGTCACCATAAAATGGAGACCCGACGTCAACGACCATAAAATGGCGATCCGGCTACTCGCATGAAGCTTATACTGGTTGTTCGTTCAAGAGCTTGGTTCCAGAACTTTTGTGTTTTTTCCCTTCAGCCACTGACATGGAGGAAACAGCAGCCGTCAAGATTCCAATTTACAATCCGATTAACCCGCCATTGTGGTTTGTTATGTGTGAAGAAACATTTGCTTTAGCCGCACCCAAGCCTATTACGGATTCGAAGACAAAATTTAACAATTGCGTCGCTCATTTGCCGCCGGAAATTACTGCGTTGGTTAGAGATATCTTTCTCCGGGAACGTACAGATGCTTCTTACGAAGACCTTAAAGCTGCTATTACGGTACGCTGTGGAGAAAGCAGTACGAGTGAAATACGGAAATTACTCACCGGCGAGCAACTTGGAGATAGAAAGCCATCAGAACTTCTACGAGTAATGACTAGGAGGGCTGAAAAATACAATGTGCTGCCTGACTCTTTGTTACTGGAATTATTCATGCACCAGATGCCGCCAAATGTTCAGTCTATTCTAGCGTCGGTTGAGCCGCTCGATTCATCGAAAGCTAGCAGTATCGCGGATAGAATATTGGAAGTTACACCCGCTCAGGTAAGCGAAGTTTCTTCTTGTGTACCTCTCAATGTGTCTGAGATTTCTAAATTGGATTCCCTGCTGGAGGAAGTGAGCAAATTGCGTAGCGAGGTTTTTTGTCTCTACGACGATCACGCAGTGTTTCCCAAAATCGCTATAACAGGAAGCGAAGCCCTTCAGCTAAAGCTGCTTCGAACTGTTCCTATTGTTGGTATCATCATCATAAATTTAGCGATAAAGCTAAAAAGTGTGTTCCACCATGTACATTTCCAGGGAAATGTACCAGGGAAAGTGTAGTGGCGACATGCGCTTTACCCTCTGAGTCTCGTCGCCTTTTCATTAGAGACAGAAAATCGAAGTAAAATATTTCTGCGCGACACTGGACTCAGACGTCAGTCTCCTTTCAGCAACCAGACAGATGAAGCGCGTCAAACACCTATCATGACGTTTTCTGCAGCGAAAATGGTACCTCCTATTCCGGTTTATGGACAAAAAGCTCTATATATTGACCTTGGACTTCGTCGTAATTTTAATTTTACTTTTTATGTGTGTAAAGTGTCGACAAATATTATTAGATCTGATTTTTTGCATTACTTTGATTTATTACCTGATTTAACAAACAAAAAGGCTTGTTGATTTAAAAACACATTTAAAAATAACTGCAGTGTAATTAACACACATTTGTGTTCTGTTAAAACAATTATTATCAAATTGTATTTATAGTAAATTACTGTCTAACTATCCTTCACTATCAAAGCTTCCTGATCTTAATGAGACTGTTAAACATAATACTATGCATTTCATTGAAACTTTTGTTCCTCCTGTTTCATATAAGCAGGAGATTAGCTCCAGATAGATTAAAAATTGCTAAGCGTGAAATTTAAAAAATGATCAATTTATGTCACATATGACCTCTCTAAAAGTAATTACTCCTCTCTTCTTCACATGGTGTCGAAGAAAGGCACAACGAATTGAGACCTTGCAGTGATTTTCGGAGGTTCATGCTCACAGTGAAGGATAAAGTATCCTATTCCCAACATTTGCGATTTTGCAGCGGAGTTACATGGAATAAAGGTATTTTCCCGGTTAGATTTAGTTAAAGCATATCTTGATTTTATTGGCCAATTTTCCACTGACATACAATACATCAAGGTCGTGATAATATTGTTGCTGATGCCTTATCTAGGGTAGAAATAGATGCAGTATCCGATAATCAATACATTGATTATAAAAAGTTATCCGAAGTACAAATTAAGGACTCTGAAATTCAAAGTTCCCTATCTCAATCTTCAGCAGCTTTTAAACTTGAGAAACATTACTTTCCTTTAGAAGATGTTACTCTTTACAGTAATATGGACACAGGTATATCTCAACCGTTCATACCTGAATCTTTTCGCTCAAAAATATTTCAGAAGATTCACTGTCTTTCTCATGCTGGTATTTGAACTTCAACAAAATTAATTACTAAGCGCTATTTTTGGCCCAATATGAAGAAATTTATTAAAATTTCAGTTCAATCATTATTTCTACAATGCCAACGTTCTAAATTTCACAGGCATACGAAATCGCCGTTGGGTACCTTTTACCTTGCCTAATGCAAGGACTTGAACATATCCATATTGATTTCATAGGTCTTCTTCCACCAGTCTGAAAATAACCGTTATTGCATGACAATTATTGACAGGTTTACCAGATGGCCAGAAGTCATACCTACTGTCGACATGTCAGCTCAAGACGACTTGAAAAGTGTTAGTGCATAACTGGATAGCAAAGATTTGGCTGCCCGGTATCAATAACAACTGATCAAGGCCTGAAATTTTGATTCTCCGGTATTTAAGGATTTAATGAAAATTTTGGGTACACATCGCATTAGAACTACTGCTTATCATCCTCAGTACAATGGAACTGATTGAGAGATTTCATAGGCAACTTAAAAGTTCAACATAATGGCTCATAACAACCCAAAATGGACTGAAATTCTGCCTATTGTTCTGTTGGGTATTAGATCTGCCATTAAGAAAGATATAAATGCTACTTGTGCTGAACTTGTCTACGGTACTAACACTTAGATTACCGTCAGATATGCTGAATGTTACAAATATTGTATCGCCTACTGAATCTTATGTGTCACAACTTCGATCAGTCATGCATTTAGTTAGACCTATTCCAACCTCTAGGCATATTCAATCACCAATTTATGTACATACAGCACTTCAAACCTGTTCTCATGTATTTCTGCGTATCGATTCTGTTAAACCACCTCTAACTCCACCTTACACTGGCCCTCATATCGTGGTTAAACGAATGGATAAAAGTTTTATTATTGAGGTAAATAACAAAAAGATTACAGTTACAGTTACCCGCAGTGGACGTCGTGTTCATTTTCCTAAAAAAACTCATTACTGTAATATGATTAAAGTTTTCTCTTGTGGTTTGCTGCAAATGTTACAAAGTATAGATACTTGGAATAATTTTTTTTTTTTTTTTTTTTTTTTTTGCATATTGAGTTATAAAATGCTTATTAACTTTTCATTATTTCTGTTTAACTAAGTTATGCATTGTATATATTCCAATCAGAATTGTAAATGTATTATTACTATTCATATATTTGGTACGTACAATTTTAAAGTATAACTGTTATTTGAATGTGCATATCTTAAATTGGAAATTTACAGCCAAACCCTTTTGTGCCGTGACTGTGTCACTGGGGGAATACTCTGTGGCAATCTGATGTTCGACTGCGCGCGCAGCCAATCCACGTCATGTGGTTTATGTAAAAACTGCTAGCGCGGCAGTGAACTCGCTCACTTCGCCCTTACCTGCATAGGATGTTTGAATTTTAGTTTAGTGGTTTTGTTATTCGTTCTGTTATTCCAGTTGTGTTTAAAGTTATGGTGTGTATGTGATTAAAAGTTATGTTTAAAGAAAAGGAGTCATGTCAATTCAAGGATATACACCAAGACATAACCAACACGCCACCATATACCCATGTTACACGGGGAAAGCTATGAAAACGCAGCCAGTTCATTCTCCAAGACTCGAACCCCAGACCGAACTACAAGTGTTCAGCGGCTTTTTCCACCCCTCAACCGCTGGTGGGCTGGGTAATCACCTAAACTCAAATTTTCGTGTCGCTCGTTATGCACAATTCGGCCGAGTTTTCGAGAATCATGATCATTTAAGGCTACTTGTCAGTTGCAAGTTCACCTGATTATTCTTTCGTTTTACGCTATCTGTGTACTTTTTGTCGTAATGTGAGTATTACAAAACGAGGAAATCCCACTTCTTGAATTGTTCCTGAAATTGAATAATTCACGAATCGGGCATGTATTATTTGTCCTTGATTGAAAGTGCCTAAATTAGAGTTTTACCATCATGATACTTTTAATAATTGCTTAGAAGAGATTGCGTTTCCAACTGTATGTATGCATATAGCTGGAAATATATATACACATGCATAAATGAATAAACACAAAGTAAAAAACAGTTCAAAACCTTATTTGCTTGCTAATAGCAGCAACAAGTGGTGGCAATAATAAAACAAGCCCCCCCCCAAATAAACAAAAGAAGCACAATAGCAGACTGCAAGAAACAAAGGGGGGCAAAACGAAAATTGAAAATGAAATATACATCTTTCGCTGCTTTGCCATCAGTAGGTTGGTGCACTGAAAGAAGTAAATAAATAAATAAAACAGCCTCTTTCTTAACCGAAAAAGACACAAATTGAAGTTTAAAATTTGAAATTTAAAAACAATCAAAGTAATCTGCCTCGGTCTAGCACCTATAGGTTTAGCACCTATAGGTTCAACTTGTATAATAGTGGTTGGAATGATAAATACCTTTGTTCAAATGCACCGACCTTAGCTCAGATATATTCCCATGAACTTTCAAAACTTGAATAACTAAAACACTTTTAAATGTCAGACTCCCGTTTTCAGGATTCCAAATTTTGCAGTCGCCACCATATAACAGTACTTCATGAGCAACTTAAGCGTTAAGACAGGGAATTTTAACAAGAGTTATGAAGAATTCCGATCTTACGAGCAGCACAGAAGAAAACCGCTGAAACCTGATAGTTCAGTCCGAGTGCATATCTCGTCAAGCGGGCAGGAAAGACATTGTGTTTTTTCCCACGTTACGTGAATTCAAGCCAAGCTTCATTAAAATGTCTTCTACGAAGGTATCTCTAATTGAGCAGATAGCTCTCATGTGCTTTGCCATAATTCAGATTATCTAATCCAACCCCATCCGACGAAGAAATAATTCCATGCATAGAGCACAGGAAATCGAGGGTAACAGTTGCTCCTTTGCAAGATGTTAAAGCATAATGCTATCACATTTCCATAAACGGGACTTAATATTAGGAATAACAGATAAAAGTAATTAAAGCTGAAAGAAAAATTAATCATTTTTAAAACTGTAATTTGACCTATGTGCCAATCTTACATTGCCCCACAAGATCAGTAGAAAGCTATAACACGTTTGTTGTATACGATTTCCTGAAACCTCCTATCTCCACGGCAGATATTTTGTAATCCCACATGTAAAGAATAAAAAGGTTTACCTGAAGTGAAAGGAGTTTAAAAAAGATGTTTGTTGTCTGAGAAACTTTCTAAATTCCAAAGGATTTGATATTTGTAGATATCCACTAGGGACTTGGACGCGATCTGGGTATCTTCGAGTGGGTCACTCGCAAAGGAATGAAGGGGGTGCATTTCCCTTGCCGACCTACAGAAGCCGCCTAAATTCGTGGTCATTTTTTTGCACCTCTTCCCTCTTCGGGCGTCGACAACTTTCTCTCTTGTTTCTGCTAATGTATTTTCCGTGTCCGACTTCGAGCCGGGACATGTGTCGGCCACTTCTCCATCGAAGCGCTTGATTTGCGACAAGGATTTCCACTAAGCTCCGTCTCTCCCACCCCCGTCTACGGAGAGAGAGATCCCACCACCCTCCTTCTGTTTGCTACTTTGTCCTTATTTCTCCCATTGATCGGTCCTTGACATCGCGAAAATCGCGATTCCGGGACTCTCATCCCGAACTTTTCTTTGACCTTCCTGGATCTGAATCTTTTAGAAATCCGAGTCCTGAGACTGCTTAAGGATACTCACAGTATTTTATTTTGATGTCTAATTAGTTACTTTTCTCTTTTTGCGTTGCTTATAATAATCGATGAATAAATATGTGGTCATTACAACTCTAAAACCCTGATTCTAAAAAGATAATTGTTCCCAAATTAAATGTTTATGCAAATGTTTATTCCATTTATATGTTTATTATTGTAGTGCCAATGTTGAATACCAGATGGCGTACAGATTGCTGATCGTATAATTCTTTTAATGATTTTTTTCGTTTTGTGAGTTGGCAATTAGATGAGTTGGACTCAAGATGCAGTAAAAGAACGACGGGGATAAAGACGTAAATAAAAATGTATTGAAGAAGTTAATTCAGTTTGTAACTAACTTATTTGTAAAAAATGTAAATACTTTAAATGTAATTAAACGTGCTGTCCTTTTAAGTAGTTTCTTAGACGTCTTTTCTAGAAGGTATTACCACATTATTATTATTATTATTTATTTATTATTTTATTTATTAAATATATATTCAAATGTTTGTTATTTCCAAAGTGAGTGCGGTCTTGTGTGTACAGAAAAAACCCGCAGATATAGGGGAATATTTAATGAAAGCATTGATTGTGATTAGAATGCAAGGTTTGCTATTTTATTAAATACAGCATTTTATTATGGTGTAGAAATATTTAAGAAGTGTAATTATTCTATAAAGTAGGATAATTAAATTTCTGGTACTTTTCCGTTTCGCCGGCGCAAATCTCGCCAAGCAGACTTTGTTGGCGACAACATACAGTATACACATAAAAAATGTTAATTCCAAGAATTTTTTTTTATTTTGAAGGCATAAACATTTTAATATGGTTTAAAATTTTGTAAAAAGCCAATAAATAAAGACAATAAATTTGTAAAAAGACATTCATTTAAGAATTTACTATGCTTTCACGGTTCAACATCCTGATTCGCCGGTTCGTATCACGTGACCCCAAGTGATCTCATCTCACGTAAACTACGCTACTAAAATCTAATTCGCTCAGTAATTATCTACATTAATTTCAAGTTAAATCTTAATTTGGAATACAAGTTTAAATGCAAGAATTATTTCAATTCGTACGAATAGCTTACTCAGAAATTATGTAAAACCTCAGTGCTTTACTTCGCTAGTGCATTCTGATTAGAATTGATGAATTTAACACTTGATTTCGCCTTCGGATGAGCGGTGTAATTGCGTTCTAATTGACTTAGAACTAATTGACTTATTACCGTGAATTGTCTTAGGGGATAAAATTTAAATATCGTGTAAAAATTCTATATGCCAGTATTGAAAGAAACAATCTGATAAGAAATGGCTTCAACTTGTTTTGAAACTGAGGCGTAAAAGGTTACCAGCGAAGATATTTCGTCTGGCATCAGTTAAACCATTATTGGCGACTTTATCGTTTGCGCCGGCAAAACGGAAAAGTACCAAATTTCTTCTTCTCATTTTTCAATTTCATTTTCCAGAGTAACTGTTTATAAGACTACCAAAGTTTAGAAATATATATATGCAAAAGGAAGGGTTTATCTTCGAATAAATACGACTAACTTACTCTAAATACATTCAGTGAAGATAATTGTATTGCCTATGAAAGACACCTATATACCTAACAAAAATCTAAATTTTTGTAACTGTGATGATCAGAAACAGAAGCTTACGTTTTAGAAAATGAATTAAGGCTGTTTTTTCCGTTTTGCTGATATTCATCTGTCACGACAATATTTAGAAAAATAGTTTATGGGAGATTAAGACTATAAGATAAGATAGATATAGATCTGGAAGATATAGATTAGGAATTAAAAAAGTGAGGAGAAAGATTTTTGGTTGATGACTCTTTTCTTCGTTTCAATAGCTGAATGTTGATGTTTCTCATAAAAATTATTAATTTTAATTGCGTGATTTTTTTCACAATCCTCAGAATCGTAAACTGGGAGATATTAATTCTTTTTTCTATCCACAATAAAATAATTCGTATGATGGTGATGGCACTTCTTTATATAATCTCAAATATCATAGTCTGGATAACAATGACATTTTCTTCACTATCTTCAACTGTATAACGGAGATGATAATGATACTTATTTTCACCACACTCAGCACTAATCTGAATAATGATGACACTTATTTTCACATCTGGAAGATATAGATTAGGAATTAAAAAAGTGAGGAAAAAGATCTTTGGTTGATGACTCATTTCTTCATTTCAATATTTGAATGTTGATGCTTCTTTCTCATAAAAATTAAACCATTAATTTTATTTGCATGAGTTAAAGAAATATAAATCTAGAGTTTCCATATAATTCTAAACTCCCAAAACTCCCAAGATGTTGAATATTATTGATATTTAATCCATTAGGTATGTCCTGTACAAATTTTATTATTTGCGGTTTTTGTGCCCGGCGAATTTACTTTATTATGCATGTCTTCCTGGTATGTGTCTAAAGAAATAAACGCGTGCAGATATGCGTCTGAAGAGAATAAAGAAATGATGGTAAATGGAGAAATGGTTAATTAATATAAAGAGATTTAGGAAACTAGTTTCATGCTTCTTTTCATTATGTATACAAATATGGACGGAATTTCAGTTTTAATAGTAATTCAGGTTAAGAAACTTCGAAATTTTTTAAGCAATTCTACTTTTGGACAAACACATATTTAATTTCATTTTGTAACAAACAAACTTTTAAACTGTATTCTTGAAACCTATTAATTGAAATATCTTTATTTACCTCATAAAATTTAAAATTAACTCATTATAAACATAAATAAGAATAGGATTTTTATATGAACAAAAAATAACATGACAAAATTTCATAAACATTTTGTTGTTTTTAATGGAAAGAAAATATCATCTAATGAGCTTCTAAGCATAATTGATCTTATAAAACAAAGTTACATAGGGATTTTGAAATCCCAGAATTAGCAGTTTACAATAAATAAGACGCCGGAATCACAGAATCACAGCATTTATCCTAAGAGTAAAGAGGAGAGAGAGTCTCTTTCAATCATAACGTTCATATTTTGATATGTAGCTTCCGTTGTATCCGTTCACTTCAAGTACGTGAATAAAACTTGATTTCATATTTACAGTAGGCCTTTAAATCACCACTTGAAATTATATTTGTTATATCTTATTCTTGATTACTCCGAATTTCAATGGATCCGTGTTTTGATGGTAACACAAAATCATTCCCAATAAATTATTAAGAATTAATTTTAGTAATTTCCTTGATTAGTATGTTCTTTAGTAACTTTTCTCCATCGGTATATCGAACACTCAATTTATTCTCGATTAACAAACAGGGTTGTGAATAATCGATCTCTGTCTAAAAAACGAAAGTTAACTGGTTTATTGCGAAATGATAGAAAATTACTATCACAGGCGTAAAACAGAACTGTCTGGGGAAAATACAAAAAGGTATATAAAAATGCGTTAGATAACGTCAATGATAACAGATGGTGTCATAGTCATTTATAATTTAAATCCTTTCTTGCTGATGACGTTTATATGTTTCCTGATGTTATACAATAGGTTCGTTTAACTAATTAAATTGTTTGAAAATACAGGTAACTTATTAATATTAATTTTTGTTAATTATTATATGTGTTATTCCTCTGTGTTCTTATTTGCCCTGGCATTAACTGTGGTTTGAGTTTAATGTGGATACCATCCTCGGTATTACCTCTGTAAATCGGGAGCTGATTGTACCTAAAAAAGCATATTGAAACCCGATTTACCAATTTAATACCGAAAACTATGATTACGTTTAATTCAAAGTCATTGTTATTCCGAAGGCAGTTAAATGAACATAGAGAAGAGGAATGATTCACATTATAACTAAAAGAAAGTTATTATTAACGATTTACCAATTCTCCAGCGGTTTAATTTAGAGAATAAGTTCATTTATGTAAATTAAATTAGTACAAAAAAACTCCGATGCATTTTGCTTTTCCTTTTTATATTTTCCATAAACATTTTTCTGTTTTATACTGAAGGTTTTGACGGTAATTTTCCATTGTTCTGCAACAAATAAACTTAATTGTTTTTAAACAGGGCCCGGCCAATCAGCCCCGATAAATCGAGAGCTGACTGTAGGAATTATTATTTGGAAGAAATATGTATAAATTTATTAGTATTTGCTCCATAATTCACGTCTAAAATCTCGTCATTCATCAAATTATTATGTTTTAATTTTATGCAGGATTTAAAATTTAAAATGCCCAATTCTGTTGCTTTATTAAACGTTGTAAATTTTTTTATGCTTTAGTTGCCTTTCAGGATGTTATGTACGTGTGATACACGTTATGTAGTTTTCTTTTCAGTTGCTTTGGTTATTTGGAAATATTTTTGTATACTGTTTGTGTAAGATATTTCTTAATCCATGCCAGATTGCAGCTGAGTTAGGTACGATAGGGTAGGGACATAAATAATATATTTCTTGAAGCCTAGGAATTTAAAAATTGTCGTTTGGTGTGAAAAACATGTATAGAATGTATAAATTGTTTCCGTCAAAATTTTAGGATATACGGTAAAATGAAACGATGATTTATAATTATGTTTTTCGAAGTATTGAGTAAAACATTTTAAAATAGTGTCAATATCTGCTTCAGGCTCATTATGTCATGCAAATGCAAACATTAATGTTTGGAAATGAAAAGGTTGCATTAAACAATTGAATTCTTTAGGAATTCTACAGCTCATAAAATAAAGGCCGGAAGAGGGAGAAGTATCCGGAAAATTTTGCCAGATTTCAATTAAATTTTATATGCAGATAGGATAAGACCGAAGATAAAATGGTTCAAGTTTCTTTGCCCAGGGATAGCAGTAGTTGCAATAATTGCTGCGCCAGCACAAAAACTGCTTCTGAAGATGTTATAAAGTATTCGCTCATGAGGATTTAAACATTAAAAAAAAAAGCTGATTGCATTTATCTTCTTCGTTTATTATAGAAATGCGTTGACGCTGACTTTTTGTTCTATACGAAGAAATTGGAGCGTTTTAAAGTTGATCTGTCATACAAATGAAAAAGGGCGAGTTGATCAAATTACTTTACTCTTCGACTTTTGGATCGGATAGGTGTTGCCATTGGATGATACTGGAAGCAGTGGATCCAGGAGACAGGAAACAGCGTCAACCAGGCAGTACACTCTTAAAGAGGACAACGGAATAAGATCAGGCGTAAAAACAACATGAATAGTCTTGAATGTATAACTAATCAGCTATTTATCATGTTATAAGTACTGAAATGATCACCTGGACTATTGTTAGACAACTATGACAGCGGAAAACATATTATATATGTTCATTTTGCCGACTACCATAATACAGTCAGTATTCTCCGTGTCTGAACTATTCAACCATCTATTCTATTTTTTTTCATTCGTTTCCGGAGATGAACTGGCCAGCGCTCTAATCTTATCGTAACTACTGAGCGGCAATCTCTCCTCAAGTAAAGCGTACTGGGTGACCATTTCGTTTGAAACCTGGATCTTTTGAAAATTATTTGTAGCACTTTCACAGCAGAAAGGTACGTAAATGAATTTATAGGAATTGTTATGTTTCATTTTATCATATATTATGGTGTAACTTCCACTTAGATAATTCCTTCTTGTTTACGTATACAATGGATTGTCTTCGTGATACTGACAACACACCGTTAGTCAGTCACATACTCTAATCTAGAACACTTTTGAGCTTTGGTGGAATGTTATTTACGTCAGTCTCAACTATTCCTCAAGTATTCCTAGCAAATTAAACGATATCTCCGATGTTATCCCTTAATACACGATCTGAGAAATTCTTGCATCAACTTCATACCGAATAACTGCTTTCAGTTAAGTCAAATTTGGGCCTACTAATGATTTACATTTTTATATAACTTTTCTTTATAAATTATCATAACTATTATAGAATTGCATATCGTTTCTTTTTTTACAAAGCATTTCATTCAGAACGACTGATTTTTTGCAGATACTTAGATTTTTTTTTAAATTAAAGACTGTATTTTTCTCAACACGACAATTTTGGACTGAAAACGAGACTGATTACAAGAGAAGAAAGAAAGCATTAATAATATATACCTAAATAAAGAACTGCAAATGAATGAGTTTCTTCATATATAGAGTGTGAAGCGAAGAAGTTGCTTTCAAAATCATAGCTCTGGATTGATTTTTAGAGCATGGCATGAATCAGATTGGACATGTCCATATTACATTATTAAATGGTATGACTGCTTCCGGTGAAAAATGCCGAAGATTCTTGATTAATATAGTTACAAGCGATTAGGCATGGTTATTCTGATATGACTTTATTTTAAACGATAGGGTACTAAAAATCTCTGAAAGCCACAGAAATTTCGTGAGCCTTAGTTAGAATCAAAGCAATGCTCATTTTCTTCTACAACATCAAAGAAATATTGATTAAAGAATTTGTGGACATCATGTTTTTCCTCAAACTTAGTGCTATTTTTTAATTCTCACGATAAAACTGCCATTTAAAAAATGCTTTCTGATAATGTGCATAGTATTCAGTAAATTATGATAAAGGGTTTTGAACATTATTTCTTCACTTATTTGTCAGACAGCATTATATGCACTTTTTGATTGCCCAAAACAAGGAATGGATTTCAGAAGATGTAACTTCGAAACCAGATTTATAACCAGAATTTATAATCCCATACAGTAACTTTTTATTTTTGGTCAAATGATCTGTATCTTTCTAAAATGAATTGGCACCTGAAATTCGATGCATTCATCGAAAGGGAATCAAATTCGATGAGTTCTGTTTAGCATCTCAAATTCTTTAACGATACTGTCTCTTTTTTTCTATGATATTTAAACTTGAAGTGAAATTGTTAATTGTTTAAATGAAGAAACTCGAAACCTTAAAAACACAGTTATGCGTTCCGAATAGAATTAGAACATAAATGAGGTTCATTGTGTGAAGAAATGTATAAAGGAACATTTTTTCACAATATACTTTTTTTTTTCTTTTCATGAATAACCCCATTGTTTTTATGCTCCACGTAATAAATAAGTAAATATACTGATTTTATGGAAACTAAAAATAATTTGTATACATTTTACTTTAGCAGAAACGCTTTCAGGTCTTCAAATTACTGCAATCTTTAGCTGCAATTAAATTAAAGACGTGTTCCACAAATAGACAAAAAGAATAAAGAATTTTCGCGAACATTTTGGAAAATGCAATGAAATGCTAGTAGCTAACCACGACGCTCTTTATAATGAAACAGAAAAGAAAAAAATAACGGAATAAAGCAACTGGTGCCGTCAGGAATCGAAAATGGAATCAGAAATGTTTTGTTCATAGATGGGTACAAGAAGTCACTGGATGAAGAACATTTACCTTCTTACCCATCTCCTCACGTAAATTAGCTTCTACAAACAGTGCAGTGACTTAGCTTCTGACAGCGCATGGATCTTTTGTGGCCTACTTATTTCGTTTTGGGCTACATAAGACAGACAGCTGCATTTGTGGCTTACCAGGTACATTAGACCACTACTTGTTTCAGGGTCAAATGACCAAAGATCTACATGTTTAGCCCTGTACAACAACCAGTGCTCGTGAATGGTTTCACCAAATTCTCAGGAATAAATATCTTCCAGAAGCTTCAGACTCTAACGAACTATCTTGTTATGAACAGCAACAGTCTCAAAGCAGTATAATTCTCATTTTTATTTATAATTTTTTGTACCTATTAATTTTATTAACGTAAGTAGCAGTCATAAAAGGGGTTTATAATCTGTATGATAATAGTTTTGCATTTGTAATGGTATTCTATTACTTTTTTTTTTTAAATAAAAGCCGCTAAATGAGCGGAAGAAGCTGAAGCTGAAGTTCTTTTAGACGGAACAGCTGCTCATTCGGTGATTTCCTGTTTATAGATGAGTGGAAAAAAACAAGTTAAAATTTAAGTCAATGACTAACGTAGAGAAATTTTTTATGGATGTGAAACGCCTCTAGAAAATCTAATTCACCAACTTAAAGCGATTTTTGAATCATTTTTACAGAAGAAAAATATCCCTAGAGTCAGTTTTATGTGACATGTCGGATTTTTTTCTAAGTGATAATTTATTTATTAAATAAAAATTTATTGTTTTAGATAAATTAGACATAGTATTGAAAGTTTCTCGTGACATAAAATTGTATCATATACAAATTTTAGACATATAAGTAGAATATAAGATGACAAATTTTTAAATTCCAAGGCTTTATATTTATTCATGATTTTTTTTTATGAAGAAGCTAAAAATTATCTGCTGCTGATTATTTATGTACATGATAGTTTTACATAATGATTCCAAGGGAAATATTTTATATTGCTTGAAATTTTAGAAGGGGCACAGATTACGTAGAAAAATATTCCTATTATTTTACATAATCTGTGTTATACAATCTTATTTTTGTAAATTTACAAAAACTGAGCTGATATACATATTTTCTCAATTACGAAATAGTAGGGTTATCAGATATTTTATGGTACAACTAAGTAAGATCTTCAACACGAAAACCATGAATTGCACTTTTATAAGCAAATACGACACATCACTGTAAAGCAAAGTAATCATGATAATATTTATAATATGAATTAATATATCACCGGGATGAAATCTTTGCAAAACTAAACGGATTTAAGACTGCATAAATTTCACAGTAACTGCTGAAATGCTTAAGATTGAACTACAACTTACAAAATAAAAAGAGTTTTAGAATTTGTATTTACTGGAACTTTAATCAAGATTAAGGCTAGTATTAAGTAGCTTTTAGTCATTGTGCATTATAATTAGTAGACAGAAATACCTATTAAGTTAAACATGTTTAAAAGAAACACATTTTATCCCAATTAAAAGTTTTGTTTCTTATAATTAAATAATATACGGTGTCAAAAATGTTCTTATGTGGCCTTTATTTTCGCAACCATTGATCGAAGGCATATATTTCTAATTACAAAAATGTTTTAGATTAAGTCAAATATTCCTATTGTAGCAATTTTAATTTTAAGTTTTTTTTTGTGAATAACCAGCTAAATAGTAGATTCTGAAATCCAATCTTTCATACAGACCCTGGTCCTTATAGTCGCAAATAGTTTACACCTAAAAATAAAATGCAGAAGGTTTGACAAACATGCAACAAAAATTGACTGCATATTTAACTTAATTTTAAAGTTTGAGATCATATTTTCTGAAAACTGAGGAGTCGTACACAAATTTAAGAACTAAATATATTTATATGGAATTAGAAAAGAAATATCAATTTAGAAGATGGTTTCTGATGTTAATGGCAAACATTGACATGCAGATTGCCCTAAAAAAATTTGTTCAATTCAAATGATTTTCAAACAGAAGATTTTATTCACAGTTTTCTGTAGAATTCGCACTCTAGTATACAGAAGAAGGCTTCAAGTATTGGCTCATAGCCAAAGGGTAATATTATTTGCATAAACTAAAAATGAAAAATATTTCTTAGTCCAAAGAATTTTCTGTATGACTGTTAAATTATGATCCTAAAATAATAAAATTGCATGCGAATATTATCAATATATTTCAGAACTTCTGTAAAAATGCTATCAAGCGTAATACTATAAATTATAAGCTAAAGGATTTTGCACACACGTAAATGACAAAGGAATATCACTGAATGGCGTTAAACAGAAAAAAAAAATCAACTTTGAATTAGCTTACTTTGCATTTTAATCTGCAGTAATAACTGTTTTGGGCACTCAAAAATTTAAAGTAATTCCATAATTTGAAATTCTCGGTCAGTTATTCTCGTATGGAAGTCAAACGTTTTTATATTTTATGTTTTAGAATAAGTATATGTTTTTTCTAAATAAAATTCAAGAACTAAGAACCGTATAAAAGTTAGACATCGTAATTTTTACAAATTTTTTTTTTAACTTTAAAAATATAGGAATAAATTATTGATTTTATTTAAGCCATTTTTGTAATTGGACCAACAGTCACAAAATTAAAGACCTACGACCAACAGTAGCTATGACTAGCTGTCGTAAAAATAAAGTGTCGGGTAAAGATTTTTATGTACTCGATGTATAAAACGCATTATATTATTTTATTATTATTATTATTATTATTATTATTATTATTATTTTTATTTTTAATTTCTTGTTGTTTGGTAACTTAACCGAACTAAAGTTGGTAATCTAGAAGTAGGCAAATTATCATGGAAATTATTATTTTTATTAAATTAATAACCCGTATGAATGCTTATTTTTTTAATGTTTAATAATCGTACAAAATACAAGACAACTTTGATGGGAGAATTCGCATTAAAAGGGATGATAATTATATCAAGCGCATTTTATACTACTTCATATCTTTCAGTTGGGATATTTTGGAAATATACTTTCTTTGAAAATATAAATATAAAATTTATTTCCTTTAGAATACGATTAAATTAAAATCTGGAACGAATGAAGACATAAAATTAAAAAATTCAATATAATAAGAAATATAATTAACGACTAGTAGCCATACTCTGAGCATTAGTATAAAGTTAGGAACTTAGGTTCAGTATATTAAGTTACCTACCACAAAAGAATTTTCCAAACGTTATATTTAAATACAGTATTTGGAATACACTATTTGAGTATTAGTATTCTTAGAAATGTGTTTATTTTACTTAAATGACAACATCTATTTTACCCATAAAGAGTGAGAATGTTAATTAACCAGTCTTATATTTTGTTCATTTATTTGTTTGTTTCTTCGCAAAACTTTTAAAATTATGCAAACAAGTTAGCCCTCTAAAAGAAAATCCCTTTTTCCTGCCATGTGCAGACTCTACACTTTCTTTACTCTTTTCAGTTCCGAATTAACAGTCATCTCGCCTTAATAACGGACCCGCATCAATCATTTGATTGGGCGTAGAAACGTCCTGATTGGTTGTGCTTTTGTGAACGGTATGACACTCATGCACTGTTTCTTCTTGAAGAGTTTGATTGAATGTTCTTCCCCTGAAGAATTCTGTTCTAGTCGACGTATCGCCATCTGAGTATTGCAGTAATCCAGAAGGATGAGGCGTCGTTAGCTTTTCAGGAGCTGAGTTCTGCGTGCCTACATCCGAACTGTCAATTGACTGGCATTTAACTGGTGGAAAACACATCGCGCTGACATCTTTTTTGAACTGTTTACCCTCATAAGTGTAATGTTCCGATCGTTCAACGAGATTTGGTGGGAATTCAGTGGTGGCGTAATGGGTTTGATTGTCCATCATACATGATCCCCTGTTTCCCGTAGTTATACAGTCCGTTGTCTCGCATTTTGCTTGAACACCACAACTAGGCAGCAGAGAATACATAGATCTGTCACAGCACATATCGTCCACGGGATGTTTCCTCATCGCCACACCGCTAGTCCGATCCGGAGTGAAATTAGCATAAGGAAGAGAACAGCTACCACTTGCCAGAGGCGTGGACTTTACCTTACCTGTCGCACTGTTATCCTCTTCTTTTTGTCCACTTTCTGAACAAAACTCGACGTGGCAAGGGAATAGAGATCTGCGAATCATGGGTGGGCTGTCTGAAGTGGCAGTACGGGCTAATGACCAAATCTTAGGCCTATTGTTGCTTGGGGCTGAACCGAATGATGGTCCAGTTTCATCTGCTGGACAAAACATTGAATCTTTTTGATCGCCTTTCATCGGTTCAAACCTTGACTGCGTGGCGCCGTAGCAAGAATTTTGTAAAGATAAGGTACGAGCAGGGCTTGGAGACTCAGAAGTTACAGAATCTTCAGATGAATGAGCTTGAACTCGGTAACAATCCATTCCAAAAGACAGACATTCTTTCCCAGTCTGAGACTGAGGCTTAGATTCCACTCGCCCGCCCTCGAACTGAGTCGAAAAGTCATGTTTATTGGCAAAAGTACCAGGTTCTTGCTTTAAAAAATCTAAAAAGGAAAAAGAGATTAATTCAGTTATAGATACAGGTAACATGATAGGCTTATGAAGGAAAAGACTGAGCTATCTTGATAAAGTTTATTTAAACTATTTCTTAATTATTAAAATAATTTTTAATATTTATTCTCTAGTTTTCTAATATAATTACATACTCATTTTCACAGCATTTTTCCGTACAAAAATATAATGGCTCAAAGAATTAAACTATAGTTATTTATATATTATGTGCTTTACTTGTATGTGATTTATATATTTCTAAAGAACTTAATGTGACAAAATTTGTTTTAATGTTTCTTCAGGGCACGCTTTATTCATATTTAAATTAAGCTTGGATTTCATGGCGAACTTTGTAATTATGATTTCTTTGTATTTAACTTAAAAGTAGATTATGAAAATTATTTTCTGTAGACAAAACTTTTGAAGAAGTATGCATAAATTCAAATGTTTCGATTTGTAGTTAAGATCTCGATTTATAGTTTAGATCATTCTCAAAGATATTTATTTTCAAAATAGGCCTTATTACAGCACAAAATGCAAAATTAATAAAAAAAAAAAAGGAGCTTTTACAGTTTTCCTATTTTTTATTTTGTTTTATTTGTCTGTTATTACTATAATTTATTTAAAAATTAGGGAATACATAATGCCAGCATTTCACATTTATCTGATTCAGAGTATTGCCAATGAGTTACTTGATAATCCGCCTAAAAGCAAAAAATACTTTGCGGAAGCTTTAAGTTAGGTTATTTATTAGATTTATAAAATTTAGGATCTTATTAAACATATTTAATAGGAATATTACACTAATTTTTCTCCTGTTAATGTAGTGTTTGTATTAATGTTCTTCTAGCCACTGGAAAACATGAAGAAAATATCTGATTTAATTTACTTGATTTAATGTTGTATGTTGTATTAAATTATTGTATCATTAATCCAATAAATATCTAGTAATACTTAGTAACCGCGTAAGTTTCGACCTCAGTTCATTATAAAATGAGCTAACTGCATCGGAGCTTTCGTGATTTTCCTCAATAAGTGGAGTAATTACCAACACATTTTTTTGAATCCATCATGAAAACCTTTAACACAGGTAGATGGCGTTCGCGTGCTGAACAGTAATAAATTAGTCCTGTATGTGTTTAATAGACGAATTGATATAAAATGAATAATTAAATACGTAATGTTTGAAAAAGTTAAAAAGACTACAATGGGAAAAAAAAAAAAAAAAACAACGAAGAAACATCTTTTATCATGCGTACTTGTTCAATGCAAACTATAACGAGTATTTATTGCATGAAGCTGAGACCTATTTCTAAATTGCCTAACTACAATTTTGAAAATCAAATACATAAATTGCTTTTTTAAGGTTCTCAAAGAGATCATGAAAAGTATTTAATCGATACACAGAATGTCTATGAAAGCTTTTAGTTGGAACTTCGGTTTTCGCAGCCTTTGGTCGTAGACATAAAAAGTTAAATGAGGCAAATTTTCACGTATTGCCATTTTTACAATTAACAGAGAAATATAAAATTTATGCAGCGTTTTATGCAGTCCTCAGTCTCTATAATTAAGTAAACGTTTACGCTTATTCGGAAAAATAAGACACTATAATTGACTCTAACTTCCTATGAAAAAAAAAACTGACAGAGATTAATTCTGAAGTCTGAGATCTTGCTTCTAGAAAATAGAGAAATTAATCTTTACAGAAACTGAAGGGTGAAATATTTCAATTTATACGTAATTAAAAGCGAGGAATAAAAAGTAAGATTTTCGTCGAATTTTTCATGCAGAAATAGGAAAACATTTACGATCTTATTACTACTTTAATTACCTAGCTTATTTATTTATTTTTTAGGTTTATTTTATTTAACCCTGTGTTTTTAGAAGATTTTGTGTAATCAAATTCCGAGAAATAATAAGATCTATCGCTTTTGAATCTTTTATTTTTTCCTTTGTCAGAAAGAATAGTTTTGGAAAGGAGTTTGTCTTTGATTTCTTATTTCATTCTTACTAACTTTCACTGCTGGAGGTATTCTTGTAGTTGGTGTTAACGAATGAGGGAGACGAAATGCAGTTTTAATATTAATTGTTATAAAATGAAATAGTTGTTCTCACACAGAAAATGTTTTTCTAAAGTATCATTAATTCTTTACCTTTATTCAGGGTGTCCGCCGATAACATCGCGGCAAAAACATCGCGGACGAAAACGTTGCGGAGAAAACAACGCAAGGCAAAAACATCGTGCTACAAAACATCGTGGGAGAAAACATCGCAAAGAAAACATCGCAGTTCAAACATCGTGGTACAAAAATCGTCGTCGAAATAAAGCGGTTCAAAAAACTTCGCAGTTAAAAACATCGTCGTCGAAAAGATCGTGGTAAAAAATAAAGTGTCTACAAATCATCGCATGACGATAACATCGCAGACATGCTTTTTCAGGTTTAATAATTGTAAATGGATATTCTCATATGATTTATGAGCGCAAGATGTGAAGAAGGATAATTTTTTACTTTCACATTTTTTTTATTAATTAAAAAATTTTTTGCTAGGAAACTTAAGCATAGAATTAAATGCAACTTATAGATATACTTTCATGAAAATACCAGTAAAACTTTATAAAAATGATTTATTAATGGCTTTGTTAGTTAACTATGTCGCTTTAAAATTCTATTAAGTGCTTATAAGTTGCATTAATTTTCTATGCTTTTCTTATTTTCTCAGCAAAAATTTATTAGTTTATAAAAAAATGTAAAAGTAAAAATTATCCTTCTTCACATCTTGCGCTCACAAATTATTATGGGGATATCCATTTACAATTATTAAAACCTGAAAAAAAGCATGTCTGCGATGTTATCGTCATGCGATTATTTGTAGACACTTTATTTTTTACCCCGATATTTTCGACGACGATGTTTTTAAACTGCGAAGTTTTTGAACCGCTTTATTTTCGACGACGATGTTTTGTACCACGATGTTTTAGTATTGCGATGTTTTCTCTTTGCGATGTTTTCTCCTACGATGTTTTGCAGCACGACGTTTTTGCCTTGCGTTGTTTTCTCAGCGACGTTTTCGTCCGCGATGTTTTCGGCTGTAACCTTATTCAAGGGTCATATAAATCTCGTAGTTGCTATTCACTATTAAAAGAATTAGAATCTATTAGAATCTTCAATAAGAATTTGAAAATCCAAACAAGTGTCATTATAACGTCAGCGTCGCCGAAATTTCTAGCAAAAATTTCTAAGATTTTGCAATTTATTCATTTGAAGACTTGGTATTATTAGAAATTATTAGACTTAGCTGTATTAGAAAGCGAGAGAAAAAATAGCATTCTTTCCTAAAGATCTTTGCCTGATTACTGTCTGTAGATATTGCTCAATAAATTAAGGGCTATAGTACTTTTCCATTGTTACAAAATGCAAGCACATTGAAGCAGTGATATAAATATTTTAGCACATTCTTCTGATGAGTACCTTTTATAAACAGTAGGTTTTCTGGTACGTGAGAAATTCCCAGACGCATACTGAACTAAATGTGTGAACGCTTCAGGATCACATTCTTACTTCTTTATCAGAATGAAAGAACTCGCAATACACTGCAATTGCCGAATCATGGACTAAGATCCCGCAATCGAAAATACGGTTAAAAGACAGTTCACGGTATTGCACATTGGTAATTTTGTTGTTGTTGCTAATGCTCACCTATAGTCATGCTCACCTATAGTCTGACCTATAAGCTGAAGTCCACGAAATTTTCGGTGGCAAGGAGCGTAAGTTTACGGCTGCTATTGGCTGTCTTGTGTACCTTATAGGTGACAGTGCGATTTAGCTCAGTTCTGCCCCCAATTTTGATGGAGAGCAACCTCGGGGGGGACAGGTCCGAGGGTATTCCACCCCCTCTTTCCCTACCACCAACCTCTCGAGAGGACTTTCGGCTTTCCTCATATTTAGAGTACCCCTATGCCGCACGGATACTATACATTTAATAAACATCTATGCCTTCTTCTGGATTCGAACCCGTGCCCTTCTGCACGGCAGTCAGCGGCGCTAACCACTATACCGTTTGGGGGAGGGTAATTTTGTGCATATTCTGTGTTATTTTCCCTTCTGCTCAAGTGTCAGTTTATTATAGATCATATTTATTCAATATTTCTCATACTATCATGTAAGTGAGATATTCATTTGGACTATTAGCGCAGTAGAAGATCCCTTCTCTAGAAACGTTAAGATAAAGATTTCTGTACTTAATCCTGAGAACTTTTTCAACTATCATTCTGTAAATATTTTGCATCATATGTATATTTTATTGTAGTTTTTCTTTTCATTGAATGATACCTTCAAGTGGAGTACCACTACAGTTCACTTCCACATCAACAGAGACGGCACTAGCAGTCTCAAGATCTCCTCCCGTGCATTACATTCCTTCATTTTGTTACTATTTACGGCATTCTCTTTTTGTCCATTCGAATGACTGTGCAAATGCACATAATTTTTAAATACAATGAAAGGCCCTAAGGCGCCATTATGTTGGATGGTAAATGCATCCTTATGTAGAAGCCAGCAGAAGAAAGAAGTTCCAAGTAGGTGTAACAGTTGAATGATCATTCATCTTATTCGGTTATTCGTACATTGCATGAACCAAAATTTTGCGTAAGTTGAATTCTTGCATACAAATAGCTCTCATAAATAAATCTTCTTCTCTAGGGGACGCAAAATAAGGGCTATAATTTAAATAGTAGATTTTTTTTTTTGTACTGTACTGTGAAGCTAACATTTGAAGATTTAATCACGGAAAAGTTCAGCTTAAGGCAAAGGAGTAAAATTGATAAATTAAAAAAAATAATTAATATTTTTTATTACAGTAAGACCCCGCTTAACGCTGTTTCGTTCAGCGCTGTTTCGGTTTAGGCTCTTTATTTCAACCCGGGGATTCCACGAAATCGCTCGCAGCATATGGGGATTCCCCGAAATATATGCAGCGATAGGTTTCAAACATATCCGAAAGAGTGTACTTGTATTTCTTGTTTGGTGCGGTATGTACAGACATATTTTTGAAGGGTAAATGTGGAAGATGTCGAAGAAATAATTCAAGAAGCAGCGGCTAGTCTTTCTAATGATGAGCTCAAGGAATTAACTGAACAAGAAGAAAACAAAAATGTTGACAAGCAGTGATTCAGAAGAAGAGCAAAAAGAATTTCGATGGCGTTTGTAAAAAGGAGTTTGTTACCCATAACTGAAATAATGGATCAATTCATTGAAAATGATCCGAATTTGACAGGAGCTCAAGGTAAGGCGTGGTGTTAGAGATGCTCTATCCGTTTATGAAGAACTTTTAAGAGAACAACGCAAAGAAAAAGGCAAACAACATTAGATGCTTTTGTCACAAAAAGGCAGAACACTGAAACGCGGAAGGCTAACTAAATATGACTGACTTAGAATTTTATTGTTTTTTTAAGAATATTCGTTTTGTTATTTATATTTTGTTTTATTTTTGCAAGAAATAATAATGTGGTATTAATTTGGGCTTTAAGAAATAAATGTTTGGTTTTATTTTTATTAAAAAAACATACTTTTTAAATTTAATACCTAACCAATTTCCTAGCCATCTTTCCCTAACCCCAATATTTACATGTAAAGATAGCCTCGTTTAGCGTTGTTTCGCATTACGCTCTACTTTGATGGAACGCATCCCCCGCGTTAAGCGGGGTCTTACTGTAGTCTGATGCAAGGAGCATATTACAACTTTAATATGTGGAAAGCGTCTATTGCTTCAACAGATTACCGATTTATTCCATATTTTTTACACAATATCTCTCTAGACAGAAAGTGTTGCCAAATGCATAATTTCCACGTTTTCGAATTTTAACTGAATTAATGTTAATTAATCATCACATTGAACGGCGTAGATATTTTATACTCTGGACTTACTTTAAAGGGAAAATGTATGCAAAAAAAAACCAGGAATCATGAAACAGCTTAAAGCCAAAATTCGAAAATCCGTTCAAGAATTAGCAAGCAAAATTCTTTAAGAATTGCGAAAAATTATCTGGAGAAAGTACATCAAGTCGAGGCTAACGATGATCTCCTTTTGACAGATATTATTTTTAAAACAAAATATAACTATATCTACATAAATTGTATTTAAAGTTAAGAATAGTAGAAAATACTGAAATCAAAAATATTATTTATCTTAATTTAGAGTGAACAACAGGAACATACAGTGGATGGACAAAAATATGGAGACACCTTGTGAAATGCATGTTTGAAAAAGAAAGATTGATTTTAATGAAATATGTAGGTGGCGCTGGCGTTTTTGACTACTGACGCCACCTATACAACTTCGTAAATGTGCTAAACAGTTCAGTTGTTGTCGGAGTACTGTTATGTGAGGTTGTCATTGCATTATGTCAGAGTTAACAGACTTCGAACGTGGGCAAGTTGTTGGAGCACGTATGGTAGGTGCTTCCGTAAGCAAGGTAGCCGAGGTGTTTAGTGTTTCAAGAGGTACTGTATCGAAGATTTATTCCGCATATTTGAAAAGCGGAAAAACATCATCTGATAAATCACAGCGCGGGCGAAAGTGTGTCCTGAGTGATCGTGACAGACGATCATTAAGGGCAATTGTGACGAAAAATAAGAAGACCACAGCTGCAAAAGTTACTGCTGAAATGAATGTTGTGTTATCGAACCCTGTGAGTACCAAAACAATTAGAAGGGAGCTTCATAAACAGGGAATTGCTGGCCGTGCTGCAATTGAGAAGCCACTCATCAGTGATGCTAATGCCCGTAACAGGCAAAAGGTGGTGTTTAAGTCATAAAGCCTGGACTATAGAGCAGTGGAAGCGAGTAATATGGTCTGACGAGTCTTCTATCACATTGTTTCCCATTTCTGGCCGAGTTTACGTCTGGAGAACGCCATCTCAAGCCTATAATACAGACTGCTTGTTGCCAAGAGTGAAACATGGCGGGGGTTCTGTTATGGTTTGGGCAGCCATATCGTGGTTCTCTGCTAGCCCATGATAACTGTGTCAAGGCACATGACTGCCAAGACTTATGTGAACATTTTGGCCGATCAAGTTCATCCCATGGTACAAACTTTGTTCCCCGATGGTGATGGTGTCTTCCAAGACGACAAAGCCCCTGTTCACACAGCTCACATTGTCCAGGACTGGTTTTCTGAGCACGAGGATGAGTTGTCCCATCTCCCCTGGCCACCACAGTCACCAGACCTGAATATTATCGAACCTTTGTGGTCTACATTGGAACGGAAAGTGCGTTCTCGTTATCCACACCCAACATCGTTATCTGAACTTGCCACCGTTTTGCAGGAAGAATGGTATAATATTCCCTTGGCAAACATACAGGAACTGTATTTATCCATTCCGAGAAGACTGCAAGCTGTTTTGGATGCCAACGGGTTTCCTACACCATATTAAGCAAAGAAACATGTTTTTTTAAAGGTGTTTCCATATTTTTGTCTAACCCCTGTATATATATATACACACCTGTATGTTTCACAACTGCTTGTTGTTATTTTAATAGATCTTTTTCTTACAGTTTCTGGAAACAACTTGTATATGTTTTTTTTTTTTTTTTTTTTTTTTACTTTGTTTTTGTGTCATTATTGTACTAGATAAAATTCCGGACACTATTTCTAATTAAAGTTTAATCGTATCACGAAAATTAAAATTAAGGTAACATTACTTTTCTTATAACTTTTATATTAATGCATAATTGTTGCTAAGTTTTGCATCAGTCAAAAACTTTTCATTCCTTAAGAGTTCATTCAGCAGCAGAATCACTACTCTAAAAATTTAAAATGCCTTCTCTGTTTAAGTTGAAGAATTATGATAAAATATTTGCGCTCGCTATTAAAGTAAATAAGGTTCGTATTGAAAATAAAGTTAATCTGAAATAAAATAAGGCTAATAAATCCATTGCACAAGTGACGATTACTTTCTCTTATGTAATTTGAATTCTGAATTATATCTTATAAGGTATTTCTCCCGCCTTAGCATACCTTCGTAGTGTAGTGGTCAGCACGCTCGGCGCGTATTCAAGAGGTCCGTGGTTCGAGTTCCGTCGAAGGCGCTGCTTATTTTTCATTTCTCGGGCTTTCAAAAATTACCTAATGTCTCTGCAGTGGCTCCCGAACCAGAAGGGTGGTGGATGATTATTCTACCCACCAGTATTTGGCGATTGGGTACCCTAATCCCTATTCGCCCTTTAAAAGGGGAAGTATATAAGGTGTTTCTCCTGCCTTCTCAGCATGCCTTCGTAGTGTAGGGGCCAGCACGCTCGGAGCGTATTTGAGAGGCCCGTGGTTCGAGTCCCGGCGAAGGCGTTGCTCATTTTTCATCTTTCCTGCTTCGAAATAACTTAATGTCTGTACAATCTGATTTAATAGTTATGATAAAGCATATAAGAAGCAACTGCCTAAGAGAACGAATGCTTTTATTGTGGACTTTTCCTGAAGGAAACTACTGTCTCATAGTCATTTTAGACATGACGAATACCTCAAAAACGCCTATTCAATCCATTCACTAGCCGGCATTGAAACCCTCGTCAACTAGTATTATAGAACCTCAAGTCACAAGCATCTCTTTTCACGAGAAAACTGATCCAGACTCAGATTTTATGAACAAAAATATCTGGGATGACGAACTTTTTTTTAATAATGAGTACGCAAGCCCCCAACGACGATTTTCAAAGGTAATTTCAGGTAAGCTCTTATACAGAATTAACAACATTTAGAGACTATTTCTTAATTTTATTGCGAAAGCCTAGCAGAAATGACTTACAAGACCATAAATTTGGCTCAAACGAAATTAAGATCAGATCATGTTGAAAATAGAGATTTGAAGGACTTTGACATCAAGGAGTTTTGCTTTCTATAAAATTGTGTCTGTAGGCAAAACCATGGCCATATAAGTTAATTACAATTGCCAAAAGAATATTCTCTCAAATAACACACCTGCTTGTTCCTTAAGCTAACCATTAAGATATTTCAAGCTTGAGTGACAAAAGAAAAGATGCGGCTTCTGACACTTAATATCTCTTTCTAAACAAATCAGCGCTAGTGTTCCGACTCAGCGCGGTAGCATTTTATTTCACACGGCATGAATTGTAATAACCTTTCAAATTTTTAACCTCTCTTTAATGTACACTTAATTTGCTTAACCTTCTGGTGCGAGCGCATATATGTAACGCGATTCGAAGAGAAGATAGGATAAGGTTTGAACTGTTATATACAATTTAGAATATTGCACCCAAGAGGTCTTCTGAATGATTAGTACTGCATTGGATAATATTATGTTAAAGTTTTGTCTTGGAGAAAATGAAGGATCTTACCGGGAAGATTGCTGTCTGTACAATCTTCAGTGTTGTCATCCGATTTGATGTCTCGGGGAGAGATACTGTCCCGATCGTCCCCTTCGCTGGTTTTATTCCTGGGTTCCCAAGTCATTTTGTTCTCTTTCTTCAACCTGCGACGGGCATTGGCGAACCATGTTGACACCTGGATTGAGAAAGCAAAAGTTAAATAACAGTCAGAAGTAGCAGCGACGTAGCGTAGGTTTCTGCCACTCGGGAGATATGCCAAATTTGCCGGCCCCTCCTGCCTACAACAGCCCACCAGCGGCCGAGCGGTAAAGACGCTGAACACTGGTAGTTCGGTCTGAGGTTCGAATCCCTCGAACGGCCTGGCTGCATGGGCGTTTTCGTGGTTTTCCCCATGTGTAACGTGTATACGAGCCAGTTTCCCTTAGAAAGTCCTCCACGAAAGGCATCCCTCCCTTTAGGCAGATAGCCCTCGTGTGCTTTGCCATAATTAAATACATCAACATCAACATCAACATCCTGCCCACAACATGTGATATCATTATTAAAAAGAAAACTTTATAATATGTTTTAAAAGGTACAATTGTAAAAGGGTCTTCCTAAACAGTGAAAGAAAAAAAAAAAAAAAAAATTGGGACGGGCCTTGATCCGGATCCTGTGAGCACTTTTCGCATAATAATAATAATCATTTATGCCAGAAATATGAAAGGGTTGGATTGGATTGGATTATTCAATTATGGCAAAGCACACGAGGGCTATCAGCCTGAAGGGAGGGATGCCTTCGTGGAGGACTTTCTAATGGAAACTGTCTCGTATTACACATGGGAAAAACCACGAAAACGCCCATGCAGCCAGCCCGTTCGCGGGATTCGAACCTCGGACCGAACTACCAGTGTTCAGCGTCGTTACCGCTCGGCCGCTGGTGGACCAGAAATATGAAAGGTTTTAATTTTTTTATGATTTCAATGTGCATAAAACAGCGTACATTTAACATGATATGTATTTTAATTCGTATTGTATTACTATAAATCGGATATAAAAAGGTCTAAGTAACAAGGAAAAAATTTAAATATCCTAAAAAGGTCTTGTCATAATAAACTTAAAAAAGATTATTTTTTTTTTGAAAAAATATATTACAAAACTGACCGGTAGCTCTGATATGAAAGCCAAAAGAGAGAAAATAAAACTTGTTTAATTTTTAGCCGAATTCAAGTATAGATGGTTGGTAGCAGAAACGTTAGAAAATAGAGTTTGAAAACAAAACACAAGTGTCTGAAACGTTTAATTTCTTTAAATATTATGTGTCTTTAAAAATGAAAAAATATATATATACATGATTGTAGACTCTCAAGAGAGCTGTGAGAAAACTCAAACCAAGAACGATCAGAAGATTAAAAAGAAACATATAAATATATTTTTTCTTAAAAAATTAGGTCATACTATTTAATGGAGACTTAAGAGCATTAAGTAAGACCGAGGCTTCGAAATTCGAGAAATCAGCATTTTTCCAAACATGGAAAAAAGCCAGTATAGAAAGGAGCATCAAGTGCATATAGAAAAAGAATTTCACATAATCTCAAGTGAAGATTCTTTAGACATCTATATAATCTTACTAGAATTAACAGTCTTGATAATTATAAAGTTGAGCAATCAACGAAAAGAAATTCTATTTTAAAGGAAGAGTTCTTCACTCTCGTCAGAGATTCAGTTATGAGTGTCTTTGAATTATACGGTTAAATTTTGTATTACTGTGTTGGAAAGTGTAAAAACTTCACGAAGAAGAACGGAGGAATAAACTTAGTTACAAAGTAAGGATGCTATTGGATGCTTAAAATACAGTTTCTGTAATAGATATTTCTAAACAGATATTACTAGTATATATATATATATGTGTGTGTGTGTGTGTGTGTGTTGCCGAAAAAGTATTAAACGTAAGGTCATTTTACTGTTCGACCTTAACACACATATGTACACATTCACAAGACCGAAAAAACCTTCTTGAAATTTGAACTTATTTACGCAGTTTACGTCATTTTGATATACTCCAAAATTTATATTGCTGATATAAAAGCGTAACATTTTTCTTCAATTCCTTCATTCTCTAAAATTTCCGCAACTATGTAATACTTCAAAATTAAGATTAGGTTATTTGAATATGGCAAAAATACGAAGGCTACATGGCTGTGGCGAGGGATGCTTTAGTGGAGGGCTTTCTAAGGGAAACTGGCTTGTATTCACGTTACACATGTTGAAAACCACGAAAATAAACTATGCAGCCAGCCCATTAGTGAGGGTTCGAACCCGAGTCAACTAACAGATTCAGCGATCTTAATCACTTTGCCCCAAGAGGGGCACTTCAGAACTATGAGAGCGAGTAAAAATGTAATCTTAATGTGGCTATAAAAATTCACAGAAAATACATGCACTATTATAGATTTGTTGTGCTTTTCAAATTAAGATATAATTACAGGTTGTATGAAAGATATGACATTAAGAAACAAAAATCAAAATGAAACCTACTTTGAAGAAAGCAGAAAGAGGGTAAGTAAACAGTTATCTGATTTTGTACACCCACCGGAAGTGAGAAATCAGTCCGTAATCTCATCGTCCAATTCACTCATGGAATGTTTGGACATTATCCAATTTATTCGTCTGATCCTCATCATCAACACTGATCCTCATCATCCATCATCATCTAACACTGATCCTCATCATCCATCATCATCAACACTGATCATCATCATCTAACACTGATCCTCATCATCCTTTGAACTTATGAGAATCAGTATTGGGAACAGCTCGTTTATCGCCTCAATTTGTTTATACTCTCAAGCATAACCCTGTTATTATTTCTAATCTTCCTTATCTGAACCTATAACTAGATCAGGAGCATGAACGACTTTTATCGTGGCTAAGAGGTAAGGGTTGCGATTTGCGATTGTCATTAGCTTATGTCTTAGACACCTTACAGATGATCGTATACGGGTTTTCTCAGCTCTGTATCAAATTTGATGGACAATACCTGTGGGACAGATCCGAGGGGAGAATAATCTTCCAAAGACAGTCTGAGTGGCAAGAATTATGCAGACATTAAGATAAAAGCAGCGGTATACTACTAATGTGTCGGTTAGAACCATAGAGGTATAGAATGGTGTCCGCCGATAACATCGCGACAAATACATCGCGGACGAAAACGTCACGGAGAAAACAATGCAAGGCGAAAACGTCGTTCTACAAAACATCGTGGGAGAAAACATCGCAAAGAGAAAATATCGCCCTAAAACAACTCGTGGTACAAAACATCGTCGTCGAAAATAAAGCGGTTCAAAAACTTCGCAGTTTAAAAAACATCGTCGTCGAAAATATCGTGGTAAAATAAAGTATCTAAATCATCGCATGACGATAACATCGCAAACATGCTTTTTTTCAGGCTTAATAACTGTAAATGGAATATGGTTCTCAAAGGATTTGTGCGCGCAAGATTGTAAGAAGGATAATTACTTTCACAGCTTTTTATTGACTAATAAAATTTTTGCTGAAAAAGTTAAATATTTCATTAATTAATTTAAGGCACTTATACATTATACTTTTTATGAAAAATTACCAGTAAAAACTTTATAAAAAGGATTATTAATGGCCTTGTTAATTAATTATGTCGGTTTAAAATTCTATTGGTGATACAAGTTGCATTAATTTTCTATTCTTAAGTTTCCTTCTTATTTCTCAGCAAAAATTTATTAGTGAATAAAAAATATGAAAGTAAAAATTATCTTTCTTTCCATGAAAAAAAGCATGTCTGCGATGTTATCGTTATGCGATGATTGTAGATACTTATTTTTACCACGATATTTTCGACGACGATGTTTTTAAACTGCGATGTTTTGAACCGCTTTATTTCGACGACGATGTTTTGTACCACGATGTTTTAGGACTGCGATTTTCTCTTTGCGATATTTTCTCCCACGATGTTTTGTAGCACGACGTTTTCGCCTTGCGTTGTTTTCTCCGCGACGTTTTCGTCCGCGATGTATTTGTCGCGATGTTTTCAGCTGTAACCGTATAGGATAGCCCTCCCCCCTGCTGATACACAGTCAATTAGAAAAGAAAATTTTGCGGAATCCAGAAATTGCTGAAGTTTTACCTCCCTGCACTACATATTTTACTCTGCTCTACTTGCATTCTACACTTTGCTCTATCCTACCGGCTCTATTATATTTCGGTCTGCTTTACCTGCACTGCAAGATCCAAGATTGGACACATTCTATTAGTAAAAATTATTTTCTAACTCTTTTTTTTATCTAAATCAAACTTTCATCAGAGAAACATTAAGGATTACACAAAAATCCTAAAGTAAAAAGTTTTTTTTTTTTTTTTTTTTTTTTTAGTTTCCCTTTTGCTTTCTTTTCTTAAAACATCAGAAAACATTTTCAGTACTCACTTGCGTTAATGTCATTTTTGTGATGATAGCTAACATGATCTTCTCTCCTTTCGTAGGATATGGGTTCTTTCGGTGTTCATACAACCACGCTTTCAAAGTGTTGGTGGTTTCTCTCGTTGCATTCTTCCGCCGCGCGACGCTGTCAATTGAGCTGTACCTGTTGGACGAGAAGGAATACTTCGCAAAATAATCAGAAGTACTTAGAACACAATCAAACAAATAACAAAAGACGATAAGAAAATTCCTTAGCTGTCTAAACATCAGTACTTATAAGATATACTGGCTCACATTTTCTCGGGGATAATTTTTTGCACCAAGACTTTTTTGATGACTAAACATTACCAGTGGACATTATAATAACTATTATTTATTTGTCTCTAGCTGTAGACTCTGGCTTTGTTAATGTACTGAAGAACCTGAAGAAAAGTGCAAATGATTGTCGTCAAGTTGTATTACTCGAATATGACAAAGCACACAAGAACTCTTTGCCTGAGAGGAGGAATTTCCTTCACGCAGGAATTCCCAACATTCAACAGTCTTTTATATTCCAACATTCAGCAGTATAACAGTATTTATCCCCAACATTCAGCAGTATAACCCCTTTGTCACTGGTGTAGTATTGTGACCAACAATAACGCTATAGGGTGAACACCTATACTTAAGAAACTGATATGGGTTTACAATTACCTAGCGATTTTGTTTTCTGAACAGTCCCCGCCAGGATAATGTGAACCAGAATACGTCGTAAGTACTCAAACACATCTAAACAGCAGAGGTGGTTCGCAAAGGTATTCAAACCACGCATGTCTATAGATTGTAAACATCCATAGTTTAGGCTTTCATCTTAGTCAAGATGCAAAACTTGGTCGAAATTCTGTAAGTCAAATTCTGAAGCAAAATGTCTTTTAACTTTTTTTTTTTTTAGTTTCCATATAGTTTGGGAAGCGCTGCACGAAATGGAAGTAGTTGGAATGTGAATTCTATTCTCTATTTGTTTCATTGTGAGGACCTCATCAATGTGCGGGGATCCATTGCAAGGCTACAGGCTGATGAATGAATGAGACTAGCATTCGAGAATTTCACAACACATCTAGTAATCGATAAGACCAATAAAATAGATACGAGAATTAACATAATGTCATTCAAAATGATTGGCCTAATCTCAGATGAGCGCATCGATTAACCTCATTAATTTGATGTGTTAAATGAAAATGAAAACTCTCATCACTTTAAAATGTCACCAAAACATCTGCATGGAATATCAGTTTTTACCTTCGGATTGTGTCAATGAAAATGTAGACCTGATGGTTTAGAGTTTTACTCTGCCTCCCAAATCATCGGATTCTACCCTATGTAACTTTAACTCTTGGGAACAACATTTGAAACGTTGATGTAGTAGTAAGCTGCTTAAAAGCTTATGTGATAACAAAATACCTTTGTTATTGCTGTGAAAAAAATATTAAAGCATTTGCTGGAATAAGTAGGACTGTATTTTGATTATCATCTTAAACGTAATTTTGAGGAAAGTTCAGATATAAAAAGGAACTTTTGCCCTCTGTTCTTGCAAAAAAATCCAATATAATCATGATTAATTCAGGTATTATCAAACTCTCTTGGGCACTCGAACAAGTGCATTGTCCGTGGCAGGCGACTACATAAAATAATTCCATTATTTATGCTTAAATATTTTCTTTGCATTCAGTAAATAAAGTTTTGCTGGTAAATTCCTGCTTATACGAGGGTTGGAACTTTAATAGTGGCAACACAGCTGAAAAAACGCTATGCAACAAAACCAAAGAATATCGCGTATACCACACGTAAACTACATACCTACCTTACCTCTCAGCAAAAAGACTCGTCCTGCCTACGTCACGCGCATGCGGAGTGACGCGAAGAACGAATCCTTGTATTAGCTCGCGGTCTAAAGTAAGTGTTGTCAGGATGTTTTCAAAACAAGAACAACGATGTTGGATAAAAATTGAATGTGCCAGAGGTCGTACAGCACGACAGTGTCATCAAGGGCTTCAAGAGGCTTGCGGGGAATCTGCATTGCCTTACAGAACCGTAGCAAGATGGGTGAAAGCATTCAATGAAGGACGCCAAAACGTGGCAGACATGCTGCGGCCAGGTCGTCCGAGTGTCAGCGATGCAGACGTGCAAGCTGTTGCCGCACTAATGGACAGTGATCGCCGCCAAACGATTCGTCAGCTGGCCGGACAAACAGGATTAGCGCATACGACTGTGCTGCACATTCTGAAGGAATGCCTGTCCATGAGAAAAATTGCTTCACGATGGGTTCCACATCAATTGACGGAAATGCAGAAATGGCTACGATACGATGCTGCCCGAACCCACCTGGAGCGCTATGAGCGCGAAGGAGATGCTTTTTTACGCCGTATCATTACGCTGGATGAGACTTGGGCCCGATCGTACCAGCCAGAACTGAAACGCCAATCAAACGAATGGCGTCATCACGGGTCACCACGGCGTTCGAAATTTCGTCAGAACCCCAGCAATGTGAAAGTTATGGTGATTCTCGTGTACGACTGTGATGGTGTCATCCTAACGCATACCGTTCCCCCACAGCAGACCGTCACTGCGCAGTATTACTGCTGCTCATTTTGGAGCACAATCTCTCCGACCAGCTTTGAGAAAAAACGGCGACACTTTCTGCAGAACGCTCCTCTCATTTTGCATGACAATGCTCGGCCGCATGCAGTGCAAGCTGTGACTGATTTGTTCAAGCGATGGGGCTGGGAAGTGCTTTACCATCCACCATACTCCCCAGATCTAAGCCCTTGTGACTATGACTTAATTCCTAAGATGAAGGAACCACTTCGTGGCACTCGCTTCCAAACTGTTCCTGAGATTCTTGCGGCAGTAGACCGGTCCATTCAAACTATCAACAAAACAGGCGCTGCTACAGGTATTCTGCGACTTCCACATCGTTGGAAATGGGTTGTACACAATGCTGGCGACTATATTGAAGGACTGTAAAACGTGGTGACATAAATCACTTTTGTATTCCTTGTAAATAAATAGTTGCCACTATTAAAGTTCCAACCCTCGTATTTGAACATTACTCATAAAGGAAATCACTTTTTTATTCAAACCCGACACTAATTTAAGTTTGCATTTTTCACTAAATTTAAGCTAAAACTTTTGATTTTGAAAATAAATAAATTGTGTTATTCTTGCAATAAATGGCTTGTATTTAATTGCTCACCAGATCTGTTTACTTCTACAGTGACAGCAAATTCTTTTACTCTAAGTGGCAAAATAATTATTAGAACTAGGTTGAGCTTTAATCGGCCAGTTTGCGTATAGATGGTAACCATGCAACAAAAAATACAGTGCATGCTGTTGTATTTGAGACACAGGCACCTTTTGCGAAAAGCACAAGTGTTAAGAGCTCATATTAAAATTTAATAATCATATAGTTTAAAAAAGTTTTTGTATTTATTTTGCATATAAATTGTTCAGCTACATTTCCTAATAAGATTTTAAAATCAATTGCATCCTTTTTAATGACCATGCAGGAGTCCACATCTGAATTACGTCCCATAATTAACGTTCAGTAATTATGGGACGAAGAAAAAGTTAAACTTCAAACTTGTGTGGCTTATGTCCCATTACAAACTTATGTATTATGATGGGACGAAGAAAAAGTTAAACTTCAAACTTGTATGGCTTATGTCCCATTATAAACTGATGTATTATGATGAGACGAAGAAAAAGTTAAACTTCAAACTTTTGTGGTTTATGAACAAAACATGATTTTATGAGAATCAATAGCTCGAGTTTAAACGCTCAGACTTGTTTTTTCCCCCACAACAAATCATGCATCTGCACACTTTTAAAGAATTAAGTACCATTCTGAAATGGTTGAAAAATGCAGTACTCCCTTTTGCCGCAAGAGTTGGTGAATAACTGTAATGATTTCCTAAAATTGTTAATATTATTACCGATAAGTTAATCGGTCTCTTTGTAATGTACGTTCAATTTTTTTTTTTTGGTTGTAACACACCAGAAGTGGGCAAATAAAGTGCTGATTAGTTTTAATTTACTTGAGTGTAAAAGATGATTAACAGTTAGGGCGATAACTCTTCAGAATCAAAAGAATAGCTATGCATGAAATACCATTAGGTAAACAGACATGTAAAAGTAGTTTAATAACAAGGATATAAGAATAATGTTTAATGTCCTGTCTTTCGTATGTTTTGTGAAGATTGATACTAAATGGCTTCCTATCTCTGTATTGCATCCAAGTAAATTGGTAGTTGGGAAAATAAGGCATCATTCGCTGGTTTGCGAAATAAGTTGCATTACAATTCTCTTCCGGTTTTTTAACACACGTTCTGCGACTCTTATATTAAAAGAGAAATCAACTTCCTTCACAGACAAATGAGATCTCATAACTCAACTATTGCTCAGTCTGGGAAATTAAAATCGCTAATTTAAATATTGAAGGGGGTTCATTTTGCCAATATATCCCTAGTTTAAAAAACCAGAAGCAGAAGAACCACCCTATTAAGTTACATACAGGCTACGCTTAAAAGCGATGAAGAAAATGCTGAATTATTCTTAATTAGATAATTTTAAATAGTTCATGCCAAATTCTTTTCGGTCCAAACCAATGAAGAAAAGACTTTTAAGGAGTTGAGGAGTGATTAAAATTTTCTTCAATTACAACATTCCAAATTTCTCTCCTCTAAAAGAAATTAAGAATATTATTAGGAAGTTGAGGCTAATAAAGTGCCTGGTCTAGATATTGTAATATCAACAATAAGATGCGACCGCGTCTGACACGTAAGATATAACTACAAGTTAATTAAAGTAAATTTCGATAAAAACCTTATTTTACTGATAAAACACATTCTAGAAAACAAAGCTTCGGTTATTAAACAAGGTTCTAGGTCGACAAATAAGTGTAGGTGTTCCTCAAAGATCCATTTGGAGACTAGTGTTTCATGTAATATATGTTTACTATTTTCCAAATTATCCGAATTAACCTAATAGTTTAATAGCTAGCTACACAGATGAGGCCGCTATAATTTCCAAGTCAAGACAGCCTAATTATGCCATCAGAAGAGTTCAAAGAAAAATTTCCATCATTGGAGACTGGTGCACTATGTGAAAAACTAACATAAACTGTGA